TATTGATACCAATGAGTAGATTGAATGACATTTTGAAAAGCTAATGTTCTACATGTGTATTTATCCCTTGGTTCAGATTATAAAACTTTTATTACTATCAATTTGAATAAAAACGATGTCACTCAAAATCAGAGGATATCCTAAGTATAATACATATTACTTTGTATGATTAAAAAATGTGAACAATGAGCATTGACAAAAATATACAAACAATATTATATTTCTATTAACAATAGTTATTTATATATTAATTGGTGAGCATTATCTAATGTTCTACAAATGTATTTATCCCTTGGTTTAGATATCTCATCTTCCCCTACACTTAAAAAACTTTTAAAACTATCCATTCAAAACAAAAAAATGATATTCTTAGTATGATACATATTATATAATTTAAAAACGTGAACAATGAGCATTGACAAAAATATACAAACAATATTATATTTATATTAACAATAGTTATTTATATATTAATTGGCGAGCTTTATCCAACAACATGTATGTGAATCGGGGACAATTATATTACTATATCTAGTATATACAGTATATACAGTTTTACAATAAGTTAACAGGTTAGGGGACTTTTGAAAAGTGTTCTACTTATGGAGGTGTTCCACTTACAGAGGTGTTCCACTTTACAGGTTTTACTGTACTGCAGGGACTGACTGAGCTTGTATTCGCTACTGGGTTAATTGCAATTTGATGGCAAACTCATTTGAATATGAATAGTACTTTAAGTGCATCCCATTTGCTGCAAGCTATCGCATCAAACACAAACGCAGACCTAAATAACAGGTTAATTTGCCTATTTAGCAGCAAGTAACAATGACTTATTATCTTTTCGCTAATTCAACAGAGCGGTTTTACTATAGTTTATCGTTACAGTGGCTTAAAAAATCATGCAATCACTGTTCATCAACTAAGGGGAGGCATCAAAAGTTCGATGTCGGATCGGAAACTAAATAAATCTAGTTTTGACTCAGACCCCCCCCTCCCCCCCAAAACTAAATACCGTGAAAGTTGATCGCTTACTTCCGGTTTGAGAATTTGAAAAATTATTGCTAAACACGATCTAGTTTTTGTTAATTCCTATCGTAATTTGCGGCTTTTAACAACTATTGATAGAATATAATCCATTGGAATGATCTTGACGAAGAAAGCATCAGGTAAAATCTTTATTTTTAAACCATTCCAAGGCATTCTGCGTTGAAATTGCCAAAAATTTGAAATGTTGAAATTTGTCGGATAGCAAACTGAAATGGGTTTGAACCCCCTCCCCCCCTAACTAGATTTATTTAGTTTTCTATCCGACATCGAACTTTTGATGCCTCCCCTAAGGGGTTGTTCATTATTTCAACTTCAAAATGACGGGTTAATTTTTGAAAATAAATAGGATAATGCTAGAAGTCGGTCATTGCATTCACAAATACAAGTTGAGTGTTGCTAAAAGTGCAGATTATGTCTGTTTATGGTTATTAACAACTTTTCATACAAACATGGATTATATTGACTCTTTAGATTAGTTGTCTGGTCTGGTTGTTGTCCATGTCTAAAAATACACTAACGCGACATATAAAAATGAGTAGTACGTCTTAACTGTCTAAAAATACTGTGCCTGTATGAGACAAGATCACTTTTTCTAGCTTCAGTGGTAGGAGGAAACATTAGAATGGGAAAAATAATGAATAGTCGTCTAAATTTTGGCTCATTAGAGGATGTTTGATCTTAGTTATGAAGGCTTGTGTCTCATCACAAATAATTGAGCAATTTTCCCCCAACCAATGTTTTTTAAATTTTAATTGTGCCCATAATAGGACAATCTTATTAGATGCTTATTGTTTACTTTTGTTTATGTGTTGGTGATCTTTTATTATTACCCACTTGTCTCAGTCTGTCTGTCCTTCCGTCCGTTTGTACTTCCTTCCTTCCATTCATCTCTCCATCCGTCCCTCTGTCTGTCTATTCTTAAATCTTACTCGAGCATGATACAACGAAATTCCCAAATTTATTTCATCCTAGCGAAATTTAGAGGTTATTTCACTTAAGCCTGATATAAAACAAAATTCATAAACTTTATGATTTTGTGGGTTTTTGATTCCTCTGATTGACAGGAATGATCTCAAGTATATACAGGGTGGGCCAAAAAATTTTGCAACTTTTTTAAAAGGCTAGAAAAGTATCAAAACATAAGGGTATTGCCATAAAAAATCATTTACAGAAACTTAAGGATAGGCATATTTTACCATTTAAATACTAAAGCTAAACTTGACATCAATTTTTTTTGTCAGATCTTTGAATATCAATGGTCTATTGTTCATGTGTCCGAGATTTACCGTTTTTCCTAGAAAATGCTTCATTTATGTGATCAACAATAACACATTCATTACGTTCACTAAATCTGTTACAATCTTGAATAAATGTTCAACCAATGTCTATTGTCTAGTACAGTTTATATCAGTATCTAGTCACTATGATATTATGTATCTATTGATTATTTATTAAACAAATTCTATGCATCCACCTTTCACCTTCTCTACAGTGCGCAAGGAGACATGGGCGGAACTGGTCAATGGCACGATCCAGCGATTCTTGTGGCAGTTCTCTCCACTTCTCCTGCAGAACTTCTTTTAGTTTAACAATAGTTTAACTTCATTAACTGCAATATGCTGCTCCAGGTGCCCCCAATGGTGATAGTCACAGGAGTTGGCATCTGGGGTATTTGGCAGCCATTCATCAGGACTAATGAATCAAGGCTTATTCTCCTCCAGATATTCCAAAGTGACTTTTGCCCGATGGCTGGGAGCGATAGGGAAGGTGAAAGGGGGGTGCATAGAACATTTGTTTAATAGATAATTAATAAATACAATATAACATAATACCATAGTGACTAGATACTGATATAAACTAGACATTGAGGTAGACATTGTTTAAACAGTTATCCAAGATTGTAGCAGACTTAGTGAACATTATGAATGTATTATTGTTGATCAGTACATAAAATCATAGAAAGTCACATTTTCTAGGAAAAATGGTAAATCTCGGACACATGAACAATTGACCATTGATATTCAAAGATCTGACAAAAAAATTTGAAGCCAGTTTTAGCTTTAGCATTTGACTGGTAAAATATGCCTATCCTTAAGTTTCTGTAAATAATTTTTTATGGCAATACCCTTATGTTTTGATACTTTTCTAGCCTTTTAAAAAAGTTGCAAATTTTTTTGGCCCACCCTGTAGAAGACATCAGGCCTAGAGTTACAGATTTCTTCTTAAACTTCAACTTGATAAATTGGTTAAACCTCTTCATCAATATGAGCTCTAATCAAAATACGAGCTCTAATAAGAGGGGGAAACCCACAGAGCTTAGGAGATGACATAATTACGTCTCATGCTAACCACCTTCATTTGTTCAAAGGAGCACATAGGTTATCGCAAACAATTTCAAACGATTCTAATTTGAATTATGAATATTTTCTGATCATGAACATGGGTGTATCTTTTAGATCCATTCATTATCTTCAAGAAAAGTATATATATTGATAATTTAGTTAATCAGACCTAAGTGATATTGAAGGGGCAATGGACCAGTCAACATACTTTTTCAAAAATGTTGACCTAATTTTCACCAAAAATGCAACCTTTTTATTATTATATTGTTGAATGCATAATTAGAATGTGCTTTGAGACATGTTCGATTTCCTAAAAGGAAAAGTTGATTGCTCCAGGGACTTTAAAGATACTGAATTCTGATGACCAAATAAATGGATAGCATGAGATTTTTCAATGGAGAAATAACATGGGGAACACTTATCTTTAAGCAATTAAGTTTTTCTTTCAAGAACTGTTTGATACATCAAAATAAAGAATAGTAATGCATCAAACATTGTAAAAAATGATTGCATTTTTGGTGAAAATGGGGTCAACATCTTTGAAAAAGTGTGTTGATGGGTTGATTGCTAGTTAAATATTTCCGAGTTTGTTTGATTTTATTATTACTGTACATAATTTTCTTTGAGATAAAGAATTGATGTAAAAGATAAACCTGTCTTCATTGTCATAATCCAAAATATAACCTTCTAAAATTGTTTGCGATAACCTACGTGCTCCTTTTCACAAGCTTAGTTTATGAATACCACACATCGTTGTGATGTTTTGATTGATGTAAGCATATTCCTTACACATTTCTTTTTCTTGATGTGAAATAACAAGCTATGATATTGGTTAACATGCCAGATATTAAAACAATATCATTCCAAATACTTTTAGAAAAATTTGGAAGTGCCGTTGAATGAATGCCATCATTTGTTTGTCAATTTGACAATGTCTTCTCTTTACATTATAGACATAAATCTTTTCTAAATCCTGGAGTTTTGCCTCCTCTTAGCTGTAATCTTAAATTGAAATGTTACACCAATACATGTATATGACAGATTAATAAAAATGACTTATTTGCTGTACATCTTTCCATACCTAGCTAGACATTTCTTTTCAGAAAAGGTTTTTTCATGACAAACCAAGCAATTATGTGATCTATTTGCTTCCCTTGGGGAGGAATTTGTAACTTAACATACAGGAGAGATGTAATTATTTTGTTTCAAGGAAACTTGATCAGATCAGATTCAATATTACATCATCTGAAAGGATATACATACAGGATGGGGCAAAAAATGTGAGGCTATTTTGTTGATATAGTTTGTGAATTTAAAAAGCATTTGAGGTGCATTGATCACTGCAGTTGTTTCAAAAATTCAGCCAGAGTTTTGCCTTCCAGTTATTTAACTTGATGCCATTCAGTCCATCTTACCTCCTCATATTGGTCTCAAATACTTTTGAAACACCCTGTACATTATGAAAATGAAAAAGATTACAGCAAAATAAAAATATGGGTGATTTTCTGCCTACCCTATATTATAATATTGAATGATTCCTGTACTTTTTCTTGTTTAATTCGAAGTACATTTAGATACATTTTCACTAGTTGCAATTAGAGGGATTTTTAATCCTTACATAAATACTAAATGGTAATTTTCTTTTTTTTGTCATAAAATCAAAAAGTCAGCACCTTTATAACTTCATCAGAATTTGGCAATTGGTATACATATATACTTAAATGAACATAAAGTAAAAGTCCCAATATAAAATATCAAGAGGTGTCAAAATTGTCTACTCTTTTTCACAGTTCCTCTATATAAGTACAAACTGTATACTGGAAATGTGTACTGGAAAATGAATTTACTTTTAATGAGAAATCAATGTGAAATTTATAAAAACTTCAATTTTACAGATTTTTATATTTTCCATTTATTTACATATAAATTAATTATATATTATTTTAGTCCTGTGTTTATACTTTGCAAATAATATATCTGTATGTGTTATTCTAGTTATTGGTTTAAATGTGGCAGATTATATATCATGGACCCTTGGGCGTGCATTTGAAGTCATGCATTGAAATATGATAGAGACCAATATTCTCATGCCTTATAAAATATCTTAATAAACTGTCATCCTAGCCTCAAGCTAATAAATACCAGATAGAATAGTTCAACTGGTCATTCACCGGTTGTTTTCTGTCATAATGTTTAGATATCATTGACCAGTGCTCTCGTCTTATGTTCAAATGTAACAGTTATTTCTGTGTTCTGCTGCGTATAAATCACTGAGCTCTGGCGATGAACACTCGCGATTGAAGTTTGAGTTGTGATTACACCGTTACTTTGTGATGGCCAATCACGAGTCTTACAAAGCATCACTGCGAGCCTGTAATATCCTTGCTGTATATCTTTAGTACGAGCACTGTATATAATCGGGTCTAACATGAAGTTCACTATAGGTAAATTTGTCATAAAATAGTTCCAGGCGGTCCTGAATGTGTAATTGTCATGGTGAACTAATAGGATCACAGCGATCCAGTATGGTACTGAGGATATAACCAAAGTACATGTCAACAAGAGTGTTGTCACGAATGCCTTATGGTTATTTACGATATTGTGAACATTTTCACAGCGACCGAACAGTACCTTTTTAGCTTCAAAATATACATGAATGTATAAAATGATGATGATTATGAATATAAGACCAAAGAAACAGGGCCATATGATAAGCATGTTAAGATGAATGGTATATGGAACTGGGATGTGCCATTGTAAAAATAGAAAGAGCGCAAGAAAGAGGGCAAGCAACCATGTTGCCAGCAAGAACCATTTGATGCGCGCCTTTGTGAACAAAGAAGCATGAAGATAAGGCTTGCAGATTGCAACATAACGATTTATGGCTAAACCGAGAAGTGACAATGCAGAAGCAGAATAAAACATGTTGTATGAATATAAAGAAACATCTGCCATTATTTTTATATTCCAATCGTTCCAGAGGTCTTGATTTTCAATAAGTATCAACTCATGTGTTGTTGTTAAGAGATGACATAAAGACGCTAACATATTAGACGTGATTAGGTTTAAGAGAATAAAGTTCGAATGGGTCCAAGTACCTGGGATGTTTCGGATCGCCAATAAACATAGCAAGTTTGATAATATAGCTAGTATACTTAGTGAACCCGTTATTGCAATTTTCTGTCTGTAAACTTCCTTTGATTCCATCCAATAACCTGGGACTTCTTCTGATGTGTTGTTCATATATGTCAAATTCTTGGTTGTATTAAATGGATTTTCAGTGGTTGACCCAAAGTCGTAGTACGGCATTTTGTATGTCGTATGTGCATTTGAACCACTTGATAGACTGCGATTGAGGGGAACTATTTCATTCATCCTGACTGTATTTTGGTCCGACTGCATTAGGAATTCAGAATTCTTAATTCTGGACGAATCCTATTGTTTTAATCAGCTGCTGTATGGTGTCAACTCTGTTTGAACCAGCTGTTTTATATAATGTCAACTCTTTGAAACAGCTGATTTATATATTGTCAACTCTGTTTGGACCAGCTGTTATAGATATTGTCAACTCTGTTTGAAACAGCTGATTTATATATTGTCAACTCTGTTTGGACCAGCTGTTTTAGATATTGTCAACTCTGTTTGGACCAGCTGTTTTAGATATTGTCAACTCTGTTTGGACCAGCTGTTTTAGATATTGTCAACTCTGTTTGAAACAGCTGATTTATATATTGTCAACTCTGTTTGGACCAGCTGTTTTAGATATTGTCAACTTTGTTTGAAACAGCTGATTTATATATTGTCAACTCTATTTGGACCAGTTGATTTATATAGTGTCAACTCTGTTTGAACCAGCTGTTTTATATATTGTCAACTCTGTTTGAAACAGCTGTTTTATATAGAGTCAACTCTATTCAACCCGTTTATTTATCTAGTGTCAACTCAACCAGCTGTTTTTATTATATATTGTCAACTCTGTTTGAACCAGCTCTTTTTATATATTGTCAACTCTGTTTGAACCAGCTGTTTTTATATATTGTCAACTTTGTTTGAACCATTTGTTATTATATATTATGTCAACTCTGCTTGAACCTCAGCCTAAAGGTGAAATAATGTGAGACTTTAATAAAATGACGTGTTTGGTAACTGATACGGTCTGATTGAGGTTTTATTTTTCCGGTTTCAATAGGTAACCTGAAGTATTATCATCTCAGACTCTCATCCTGTCATATATCTAATATATCGGTTATTACGTTTATCATTCTCCCAGGGGGTATCAGTTAGAATTGTCACTTATTGGATGCAGCATTCTTTCGGTAGTCCGATTCCTGCAACAAAATAAATAATCCATCTCATAAGATGTCCTTGTTATTAGATATACAGGGTGAGCCCAAAAAAGGTAACCCAAACAAATCTTAATAACTCAGTAATTTAGTATGGGTTTAATATCATATTTTGGCACAATTAAACCTTGATCAATGTTCTTTCATGCAATGTAGTTTCATTGGTCGATTTTATGGCCATTTTGCAAAACATACTCAAAATGCCATCTTGTCATCGGAGGCAAACATCAGCTCATCGGGTGAAGTTTTCTGACTATACTTCACAGGTATCATGTGTAATAGGATAGCTCTCCTTTCCCTTCTAATCTCTTATTTCAACTCTGATGCTTCTAGGGTTTTTAATATACACATTATCTTTAAAATAGCCCCAAAGACTTTATTGGGCTTTATAAATTGTTACGTGATTTTGGTATGTTTTGGCATTTGGAGCATGTTTTGTAAAATGACCATTCAATCGTTAACATTGGAAATAGACCAATGAAACCTAAAAGGATGAAAGAACACTGGACAAGGCTCAATTGTGTCAAATATTACTCAAAACCTACACAGGATAACTGAGTTATTAAGATTTGTTTGGGTTCGTTTTTTTGGCTCACCCTGTAGCAACCAATAGATACATTAAGTGGCAGTAATAAATCAAAGGATTTACCTGTCAAACTGGTATTTATTTCTAGAGTCTTTTGGCTAAGAGTGAACAGTATTAAAGAAATGATTTGTTTGAAATAGACTAACTTCATTTGTATGGATTAAACCCTGTGTTTTTATTTTATGTGAAAGAAATGAATGAAGGACAAGTCTTACCTAGTTTTCAGAAAAATTCTAATTGTTGATGTTTAGAAAGATGTTGAGTTTTTGCATCTGCTCCAGTTTTGTTTTAATGCCCTTATATTCAAAGTATTGAGAGTGTTACCTCTTGAATTCAGTCCCACAAAAACCACCTGTTATATCTGAAATTACAAAGAAAACTTGATTATATTGTATTGAGTGATGATTGTCTGATTCTTCCTTTTATAGTCCAAGGGCATTCTATCTTCTGTGGTAACAGTGAAACCCAGGTGTTATCTTGGGAAATGCTTTGAGTGCGCTAAACATAGTTTTGTACCTGAACAAAGATTTACCTTCGCCTTTTGCTATTGCCCTTATATTTATCATGTTTTTTTCATGGCATTTTATTATTTAAACGGATCCTCTATGCTCTGAGCAGACTTTTCCTAATTGCCAAAGTGTTCTATAACATCTGCAAATGATCTATGGCCTTCGTATTTTAGGAGATAATTGTCAGCTTGAGAATAATGTATTTCCTTTACACAGTCGCTTATTTCGACAAAAAGGCAGCCTGCAAATTAATTATTTTTTATTTGATATACAATGTATTAGTTATAATGAGCCAAAAGAGCATTGATGTAATGTCTTTTTCTTAGTTTGCTGCAAAGAAAAGCTAGAAATATTATATTTATGAGTCACGAATTATAATACATGTAAAAGAAATACATACAGCATTAAAAAGTAATAATCATACCCTAATATGGTAAGTTACTGAGTAATTAATTTTTTTCCTTTGAAATAGCATGTACCAAAGGTGTAAAAATTGCAGAACTCAAATAAATCATAGCAGCAGACTCGCTATAATATTGGAAAGATTTATTACATTTTATAATCAGTGGCCTTGCGCCTGATTTATAGAGCATATATTCAAATATGACCAGAACCAAGAAAACAAAGAGTGAGCATTTGGCATATGTGTTAAGTAGTTTAATTTGTCTTACATCCATTACAGCCAGAATTCAAAAGGATAAGAAGTTAGTGATGAAGCATGTAATCATTGCAAAAGTGATGTAACAAGCAATATACAGTAGTTACAGTATCTAATTTACGGCTGCGTCTATGGTAGTTTCAAATGATATTCATCTATGGATGATGTAATAAATACAGTGAGTTTCGCATGATAACTAATCTAGTATTAGTGAATGCTACGGCTGTCGGCTACCGGATAATCCTACTATTTTATGACCAACTCATTGAAGTATGAATGGATAGTGGGAGGTACTATTTAAATGGGCTTAAATGAGTTGGCAATAAAATAGTAGGTTATTGTAGCCTGTAGCCATCATTTGCATTTGGGGAATACAAGTTGAGAGTGCCTTATTTGGTTACAATTAGTATTCCTTTAGTGATCAGTGACACTCAACAATTTCCTTGCATGATGAAAGCTGATATTCCCTGTTATGTTCAAGGTTGTCATTATTTATCAAAATTGGTAACAAGGGAAAACTGTTGCATGAATTTGCTTAATAATCTAACTATTTTTCTTCTTGTGTTGTTTGATAACACATAACATGTTATTGAATTCGACATTGCTATATTTTTAACTATTTATCAAGATAGTCAATCTTTGGTTTCAGCTGTGTTTTTTTAATTTTTTCATATTGAATGTACTTGATTATTCCCATGTTGATTGTAAAATGGATTATAAATCCAATGGCCTGCAAATTGAAAATCCATTTCACTGAATAGTTATAGACTTCTCTGTCAGCAGAATGCATATGGTTAGCTTTTGCGCTAGGTTTAGACGAGTTGTCATTTGTGACTGGTAATCATGTTAAAGTAGAAAGAAAAGTGATGAATAGCTTTAGGTGGTAGCTTGCCAGGATAAAGATGTTTAAGTGTAGGAATGACGTGCATATAAACGCTAGCTGTAACATACTATGAATACAATGTGAATGCTTTCTTGTCACTTTTTAAAAAATATGGTAGTAATCCCATCAAACGAAGTTTGGAGGGATATAGAGTCAATGCCTCCCTCCACCCATCTGGTGTACTTGAAGTGTCATGGCTTGAAAATTTTAATGTGACTGTTGTTTCTGTAGAAGTCCCTCGAACTCTGTAGTCCATAAATCCTTGTATTATTGACGTAGCCTAGTTATATTACATAGAAATAAAACACATTTGGTTAGATTATTTATCCTATGCCCAGTAGAGTTTTAGGGAAATAAGTTTATAAGATATATCCTATATCCTGGTTTTGAGGTTTCCATATCCAGAACCTCCATATCTCCTGCAATATCTTCCGCTCCAAGGCATATCTTCCCATTTTGAAAAAAAATTTGAAAAAAAGAATTTTTGAAAATAAATTTGAAAAACAATTATGAAAAAAAATCTTGAAAAATCATGGAAAAAAATATGAAAAAATCGAAATAACTCTACTGGTTATAGGATAAAGCAGTTATGTACGGTTGGTTTGGATATGGGGTTTATACCTCGTGAGATATGCATATCTCCCTCTGGATAAACCCCATATTCAAAACCTCATAGTACATAACCCTTATATATTCAAAAATTAAAGAAAAAACATATATATTACAATACTTATTATACTATATACAGCTAATGTAATGCTACATACATACCTCATTTGCAAACTGTGTCTCGGTAAATTCTGGACATTTCTTACAAATGTTGTATTTAATTCATATTTTACTCTAGCAATTAACTTATACAGTGTTCTTACCACATATTCTTTTATTTGATTTAATATATGTATGAAGTGTTTTTTCTATGTTTAGTATTAAAATATTTAATAGATCAATATTTAATGAATAAGTACTTTTTAATAGATTTCCTTAATTATAGTCTGGAGCAAATTTAATGTACCTTTATTTCTGTTTTTGCCTTAAATAAAATTTTAAATGCCACTTGAGAGTTCACTTAATTATTAAAACTATGTTATTAAAACGAAAAAAGTACTTCAGAAAACAGCTGTCCGAGAATAATTTATAGAATTTCTAAAGACAAGTTTTCTTCATTTTTCATAATATTAATCCATAGTTATTTCAGAAGCAATTGAAAAATTAAATTGAACTTTTAATGAAAATTTGGAGTAAATTTTATGTTCTGTTCTTTGTATTCATTAATCTTTGGTATTATTTGTTGGTTATCAAATATACAAATCTGCTATACTTTATTCTTCGTTGTATTAAATCTTTCCCTCATTTATTGATCGAACTACACCTTATTTTGGAATCTGCATGTACTGTACTACACATTTAAAAACAAATGTACAGAACTACCAATTAATTTAAAATGACATAAATGACATATGTATTTCAAATATTAAGTATTCCAGGATTTACAACGTAACTAATAAAATTCCATTTTTTCTATATTTCCATGTGATCCTGCGTTTGTGCAACATTGGTTATGCATGGGTTGCGTACACTTCGATGAACAATTATTCCCATGTTAAAGGTAAGTGAGTTTACAATATACTAATATACTGTAAGTAGGATATTTAGAAGGACCATGTAAAAGGACCATTTATCAGATTGTCATTTTTAAGTGATATTATAGCCTATTAGCAAAGTGTATTATATGCATGAAAAAGTATTCTTCTCTATTCTATTCTCAAAATGCCATCCAGGGTTCATATGAGTATCAATTTCATCTCTTCATTATAAGCAGATCCGTGTTATACAGAAACCCCATTCATTTTAACGCCTAATATGGCTTTAAAATGGGCGGTTTTCATTTCAAGAACATTACATGGAGGTAATTCATGGTAAATTTCATATGTATCAATTAATTTTCATAAATTGGATTGCCCACTCTATTGGTTGTGGCTTTCTCTTATGAGCTGCAATAGTTGGTAATTAAGTGGGTAACAGAGATTTTCTGCTGTCAATTCTACTTATAGTTGCTATATTATTACGAAATTAGTTTAACAATTCACCATTTAGGATTTTCTTTTTATCTCTTTTTCTTCTTTTATTTCTTTTATCTCTCACAAGAGATATATAAAAACATAAAATATTGCAAAAGTAGTGATACAATTAACTATTAACTCTATAAGTTTGTATCAGTTTTTTATGTCTCACGAGAGGGACATATAAATTAGAAAAAATTGGAAATTAGAAATATGAGGTTGTTTAATGGAATAATTATTCATTTCTAGTATACACGGGTATACAATATGGTAAGAGCCGGGGGGGAC